GAAGGGTACTCGTGCAATGCAGCGAGATAAATCTCGATTTAATGTTTAGTTTTTATTTTTTGTCTCTATCGATATAATACGATTTTATGTGGTTTTCGAAAATATTTTTATTTTTGAACAAAAATATAAATTTGAAGATAGTATAAAAATTTGTAAAAAAATAATCGATAATAGTATCAAGTTAACTATTTGATAGTTCTCGTTTTTTTATGTAACTTCTTTAATTTAATTTTTTATTATAATTTAATTTAGATTTAATAACAACGTAATTTATTTTTGGTTTAATGATATAATTTTTAAAAAAAATAATAATTAAACATTCTGTTAAACTCAATGATTATCTTAATTATATTTTAGATTTTTTATATTTTAAATTGATGTTTATTCTGTATTTGATTATGTTTATCAGCAGTTAGTTACACGAATTTAAAAATAGTGCTTTAATAAGTTGTACGTACGCAAAATTACTTGTAATATTAAATTTTAAGTAATATGCATCAATAAACAGTACTTCCTGCATAAAAATTGTTTTTAAGAGTTTTTGTCAAATTCTTTATAATATAACTAGAAGGGTGCTCACATAATATAGCGAGATATATATCAATTTTTAATGTTTTGTTTCATTATTTATCCATGTCAATATAATACAGGTTTTAATGGTTTTGAGAAAACGATAATGTTTTTATTTTTGAATATAATATAAATTTAAATATATCATAAAAAATTGAGAAGAAAATATATAGATATTAGTATCGAATTTACTATTTAAAGTTTTGGTTTTTTGTGTAATTTTTTTAATCTAATTTATTTATTTTTAGTTAATATAATTTTTATAAAGATAATAATTAAGGATTTTGTTACACGCACTGATTATCCTAATCATATTTTATATTCAAAATGAGATATTTATTTCGTATTTGATCATGTTTATCTATAGTTACACAAATTCAAAAATGAAGCTTTAATAAGTTGTACTCACGCTCAATTTACTTGTGATCTTGAATTTTAAGTAATATGAATCAATAAACAATATTTTATGCATAAAAAATGGTTTTTAAAAGTTTTTGTCAAATGATTTATAATACAGTATATATATATATATATATATATATTAATAAACAATATCATTTTATGAAAACACTGAGAATATCTTAAACAAACAATTATCATATGTATAGGGACGAAATAGTGTGCAGACGACTTGGTCTATGACCTAAGTCGCAACGAAGGTCTCCCGTGTCATCATGTGTATATCACCAATTTAGGTTACTAAACATACTTCCACCATGAAAACTCCATTTTAACTCCTATTACCTATTCAATATAGGGGTGGATCTATATCAGCAGACGTTTGTACGTCTGTTCAACCGACTTATACAAGTACAATGGACATCCAAAGAATCGAATTCCAAACCGCACTCAAAAGTAGGGCATTTCCCATTTTTATAGGAACTTCTGTAGCGAAGAGTTCCCGTAGATCGTAGTAAAGAAGCTCGAGCTTTGTCTAAGTCCACGTAATCAACCAAAAACTATCTTGAAACCAACCAAAAAACCTTAAAAAATCAGCCAAAATAATTTTCAAAAAAATAATCCTAAAACAGTGAAATTCAGCTAAAAGCACATCACATACTTAGTTTTTGTCCTAATTGCAACACTAGTCCCTGCTAGTTTAGTCACTGTGGCGAGGGACCCTTAATATGTCAATATAGGGAGAAAAAACCAGTTTTGCTCCACTTTACAATATAATATGAAAAGGAAACAAGGGTTTGATGTTCAGATCGTTCACAGATCACTTTTTCTTAAGAAAATCACGAAATTTAACTGTAAGTGTTGCTTCACAATCCAGCAAAAATACATCAAAATAACTATTACATACATACATACATACATACATACATACATACATACATACATACATACATACATACATACATATATATATATATATATATATATATATATGTGAGTTGGGATCATGTGAGAACAACCCTTTTCATGTCAAAATAACCCTTTCGATTTTTTGATATAACAACTAAACAAACATAGATTTTCAACTGATAACTAACAAAAAAGACAGACATTCATCAACCTCCATCTTCATATCTAGTTACCTTCACGAACTGTTAGTCCGGGTGATAGAAACAGGTAAATGAAGATAAATTAAATTTTCTGCAATGCTGGTGGATGTAGGTTTTTGTTCTCACGTTCTCACCAAAAAAGTCATTCTCACGGGAATCCAACCACATACACACATACATGAAGACAAATCGATTTCTCGTCGTTTTTCTAACAAGCAAGAGTAAAAAAAAACAGTCATTTTCGACGGCATACAAGAATTCCAATCACATTTTATTTGGATTTCTACAAAAGACATTGTTTTTTTTTATTAACCTGGACATCCAACCTGCTATGCGAGCCGACTAATCCTAGGGCGACCACCTGCTTTGTAGATAGCCCAAAGTCACCGCATTTGAACCTCCGTGGCCACAAGGGGATTTTTATTTCTCCTTGGATTTGAACCTGGGACCTCCTGGTACTTTTAACCTTTGGAGCCAAGCTCAAACCAATCAGGCACCACCCTTGTGGTTCAAAAGACATTGTTTTTTTTAGTATATAATATGTCTATACGACAGATGCAACAAATAAACTCACACATCCTTCTCACATTTGGTGAAGTTTGAACCCCTGATCTTCTAAGAAGTCAAAGATTACGATATTGCTAGACCATTAAATACAGGGTGGAGCTATAAAGTCCATTGACATGAGGCTGAATTGTCGTACAATTTGCACCCATGTGGTTTGGCATGCCTTACAATTTAACCAATTTTCTTTGCTTTGTCTCCTCTTGTCTTTCATCCATTATTTTATCTCCATACCCCTCTCCTTTTTTTAAGGAAAAAAAAGAGTCAAAAACATCAAATCTCATGTTTGATTATTTATAATGTCGAGATAAAAACGAGCACCAGCTTGAGTTCGAGGTCGACTCGAGCTTTAGAATCATCAAGCTTAAATGGAACCAAACACTTGTTAACATCTTAAATCTTTAACGTCTTTAGGATCTGTTTGTTAGTAGCTTAATGAGCTTAATAAGACTCACTTCTTATTAATTTGGTCAACTACGGATGACTATTTGGTAGTCACTTAATTGATACACAAAAATGGTTTATTCAGTAATCTTCTAGGGAAGAGGTTTATGTAAAAAGTCAAGTTTTTTCAAACATGTCCATCTCTAATTAAAAAAAAAACATGCTCCTTTCATCAATGAGAAAATCCTCCGAAAGAAAAATTCCCTATATATATAAACAAATTAATCTATACAGACAACTTTATCAATACAAGACTTAATGAAAAACCAACCAAACACCCCTTTAATTGGCCTAATAGTTAGTACGTTACTTTGTAACCATATGGTTTAACTGGTTCATATAATTTGGAAGAGAGTATTTCAGTATTATAACCATGGTATGTGATAAATATGATTTAACAGTTTATAGACGATGTTACTATTGTTTAAAATGAATTGTTAGTTTTATAATTTAGACGTAAAATTCATAATTCAACATTGTAATATTTTGAGGGGTAAAATAGATAATTATACAAGTTTAAACATTTATCAGTTTACTTGAATAAACAGTCATGTTAATTATGTCTCAATTTTAGCACCTCTTAAAAAATAAACAACACATTTTTATTAATGTATTAATTATTTGTTCTTATCGTTTCTTAGATGTTGTATGAACCTGTATCGAAAAATTATTATTACAAAAAACTAAAGAAAAACGCCTGCCAAAAAGGTTTTTTGTTTATTAGGAGCAAGTTGTTTTCAACGAATTATTTCATAAAAAAACATGCCCACATTACATCCCACGATGTTAATTGTCAACATTCTACTGAAACGATCGAGTTTCAATTGTACCATCGGTTATGCATAACGTACATTCACAACATGTAACGGGACCCAACTATAAAATGTTCGATTACGACATGTTGCTATTTTGTTGTCTTGTATGATGGAAATACATGCTTTTAAGTATATCGTGATATCAAATAACTAAATCAAAAATATCATCACCAACTCTACTTGCACCTACATTTTCCAATATTCACCTTCCGTTTCAAAGTAAATGCAGCGTTAAAAATCTGATGCATTGTTTATTGATTCATCAGTTATTTGTTTTATTGACAATATTTTTGAAATATGGTCTGAACCCACTGTTCTAAAAGGATAGCCGTAACAACCGTCGTGGCACGCCGTGGTTCAAGACCCGTGTCTCATTCCACGTAAAACCTGTGGCGCACCATGGCCTAGTGTGCGCTTTCTGTAACGCGATATTTGTTTTTTCTTACCTTTTTAATGTGTTATCTGCTAGTTTTTTTTATATATAAATCATTGACTTATTGAAGTAATAGTAGAGAAAAGACGTATGTTTATAATAATATTATATATGATATAAAAATTTACCGTCATAAGTCACATCTTGAAAAACGTCGTGGCCTTGCCATAGCTCCTAAGGCTTGACATTGTCGTCACACCATGCCTCATGCTATTTAGAACACTATTTGGATCCGTTAATCACTTTTTCGAATAAATAAAACCCCGTTACGTTGACACTTTTCAAATTTGAAGGTTCTAAAACCATTGAACTCGAGATATGGTAAAGCAACTTCTAGGTCGGGAGGGACCCCTTTGATGGTTATCGTAACGGCTCTATTCACGAGTTAAGAAATAAAACTAAATGCTAATTTTAAGAAAAATAAATAAAAGAATAAAATAAAAGTTAAAATTTTGAAAATTACAAAATGGCACTAGAGATTTTGGCCATATACATTAACCTACAATGCAACAAAATAGTTTCTTGGAGGGTAAAATTGGGAATTGGCATATTCAAGAGCCTGAAGAAAATAGCATTAAAAGAAAAGAAAATGAAAATGTGGAAATATTTTGATTTTATTTTTTATTAAATATTCTTCAAAATATATATATTCATCTTTTTTTTTTTAATTTTTACTTTGCCAAATTCCAATTTTACCCTTATCATGTGATTGGGTCTTTTATGGGCCCACATCATGACATATAGACTTCAATGCTTGAGCTTCTGAATGAAAGACATAACGGGCAGGTCTGAACGACGCCGTCGCACTCTGTACAAACGCATAGATGCCGACACGGCAGCAAAACCACTGAGGCGACTCGTTTCCCACACGCTTTACAACCGGGTCCACTCGCTAACACAACTTGTTCTGGGTCAATGTATGCCGATTCGGCATCCTCTGCATCGCCGGCGCCACCGGCGCATCGTAGCCCCACTTCCTCCCCTTGTGATAAACTACACCCTCCTCCTCCTCGTCTTCCTGTAACGATGATGGCTTGCTGCAGCTGCGACTGCAACGCCGCGGCTTCCGCCTCCTGTGCCCTCGCTCTCGCCTGCCAAACCTGAGCCTCGGCGCTAAGATTCGCCGCTCGAGCCTCCAGCTCCGCGTTGCGCCGTGCGGCTTTCTCCGCCTCGGCGTCTTTGTCTTTCATCCTCAGCGATATCGACTCCTCAGCCGCCCTGAGCAGTGCACAATAGTGCATCTGCCTCTTGTTTGCTAACGTACGCCGGAGCTCTTCTCCCTACCAAAACTGAAATTCTCAACCATCCATTTTCAAAAATCAATCAATCTCACAAACGATTTCTCGATAGGGTTTTACCTGCGCGTGGAGAAAATGCTCGATTTCATCTCGTTGTTGGTTGATTTGTGTCGATAAATCATGTGTTAATAACGATAGAACAGAGGACTGAGAAGAAATAGAATGCTGTTGTAATTGTTGCTGATCGTTAAAAGCTAGTCGGAGACCGGTGGAAACGTCGATGTTTCTCGATCGGAGCTGATTAACATCCACAAGTTGATTATGAAATTGTTGTTGATGAAGAAGAGAAGACATCAATTGATTCATGTTGATTTCTCTTCTTCTTTTCCTTAGATTCACACCACCACTCGCAACTATATAAACAACACACAATCATTATTCGATTGGAAAAAGCACGAAATTAAAACGAAGAAAACCGATGAACAATTCAATTCAAATCCAAACCTGCGAAATCGGTGAATAAGATGTGATTAGAAGATGGATCATCAGTCGTTCCACCTGGTTGAGATTGTAACTGTAATGAACAATCGTCGTTTTCCCCTTCTGCTATGCTTCTATAATCGAATCAAAACGATAAAAAAAACCAATTTCAGAAGGAAAAAAAAACAGATCGATGATGAAAAAGAAGAGAAAGGGGGAAATGGTGGAATAGAAAAACCTGTTAAGGAGAAGAACATTAGATGGGTATTGAGCTTGAACCGCCATTGTTATGGATTATAAGAAGCAAATTCACAAAAAAGAAAATGGAAAACAGAGGGAGGGTTGATAAACGCTAACACAAAAACAGCATGAAAGAGAAGATGGTTGGAGCCTCTAGAGAACACGCACTATAGGCGGAAACTTCAATTAATATGTGTGTCAAAAAAAATAATTAAAAAAGAAAATAAAAAGTGATGGAATATTATTATTATCCAAAAATGGAAATTTAATGATCTTAAATAAATAAAATATTTTTTGTATTTCAAAATTTAATTAAATTATATATCCAGTTAATTAAAATTGGAGTTTTATTCATCGGTTATGATCCGAGATGATAAAAAATGGGTCCCACGTCAACTAAAGAATTGTTTGTTTACTTTTTAATAGTTCCATTAAGAGACTGTCGCTGAATCGTTAAGATGTGAATCTTGTTTGATAAAAAAGATGTGTCTCTTAATGGTTACAAAACCCTCTGAATGATCTTGTATCATGGGTCTCACCTTAACTATTAAGCGCTCTAATTTCATTGTAAACAGTCGCCAAACAATTATATTTTATTTTGCACTATATAATGAGAGTCTTTTAATCATTCTGCACCAAATCATTCAGGATCCACCAAACAGCCCCTTAGAATTGGTTTTCGTAATCAATCATGGCGTACCCAAAAACCATGGCCCGGTCTATGTGTTTTGTAACAGCTCCTAGTTTTTTTTTTCTTCTGAAAATGAATTTTGTACGTAAAAAAATCGTATTTGAAGATTTTTTTTGGAAAATATCTTATTAAATACATTTTAAATTCTCTAAATATCATATTAAAAATATTTTCTAAATCTTTTTTTACAAAAAAAATGTTATAGATATTTTTGTAATTATGATTTTCGAGATTTAGAGTTGGAACACTTTAAAAACCTGAAAAATGCCAAAGAAGTTGAAAAACTTGAAAAATACTTGAAGTTTTTTGTTAAAAAAAACTTTAAAATCTTATAAATTTTTTGATAAACTCGATATATAATTTATAAAAATTTATTTTTAAAAAAAATCGGACCTATATATAACAGGTCCCGATTATGACTGGGCCGAGCCTGGAATTTACCAGAAAAGTGTAACTGGATAAGGACCGTAAAACCAGTTCCATATCATCTTCAACCCATTTGTCCATCTCTAGTTATGACGATATCTGCTATTAAAAGAATTTACTGATATAAGCATTTTTTTGATGATTTTCAAAACCAAATTAGAAACTAGATTAAAGTTGATCCAAATCGATTCGGTTTTCCGACTTGTTTTTGTTTTTAATTCTTACTTTTATATGAATAGAAACACGGTTCTTCTTGTAGAAATAAATGCGTTTTTTTTTAAATGTTATTTAATAGCACGAAATCGATAAAAATTTAGGTATTAAAATCAATATTATCAGAAGAAAAGATTCTTTACTTTTTTTCGATAATCTAAAATAGAAGTATAACGTACAAGATTGTTATAAACAAACGACTGTGCATACAATTGTATGTAGCAATTTACGTTTCGTAAAATAGTGAATAACGGTCTAAGGTTACTAAATATATGGTAAATGCATAGAGTTATGAGGGTAATGGTAATATAACGTAATTTTTCCCGTATGCTGATTTAAACTTGTAAACTTGTACTTGTAGGATATAAAGCTACTTGTACCGGAAAACATTTTTTGTCGTAGTTTTGGAAGTAATAATTCACCGATTACTACATATGTACAATGCAAACGCAGAGACACACTGATGGATTACGACTGTTCATGTGCACAATTGCATCACGTAATCAAAGATCACCATCATATACATAATTACATCATGTGACAGAAACTCGTTACAAACATGGTTTGAGTACTGAGATTTTCCGTATATATAAGTATGGCCCCACATATGTCATCTGAATCGGTGTTTAGTTAAATATCAGATAGTAGGTAAACTATCCCAGTATTTGTTTTTTTAGAATTGAATCATTTATGGATATACTGGTCACGACACGCATCTAGAACCTATTTGGATTTTATCGTGTGTAAGATGCAATTGAGTAAGTGGTGGTGCCCCTAACATTACTTCTAAAGCGGATTCCATTTTGTGTGTGGTAATAATCTTCGATCGGGTGTTGGCTATACAGATACTTTTGGGTGACTTTTTTTTATTGGTAGTTGGCAATGCTGAACGTATGGGATTGTTAATTGGATGGACGGAAAGTCTTTCATATTCGATATCTGATAGTGAAATTAGGTGAGTTTAACTACGGGTATTGCAATCAGTGGTTGTATCATAATTCAAGTATTATATTTTATAAGTTAAATACAGTCATTTTGCAGCTAAAAGTTCCTTTTATATGTGTAGAAGAGATCATTCGACTGTTCTTAAAAATCGTGCAATTGTTATGCCATTTGCAGCATACAACTCATGAACTCATACATAAGTTGTTACATGTACCAATCAAAGTTGCAACCACAAGGGTGGTGTCTGATTGGTTCGAGCTTGGACTCCAAAGGTTAAAAGTATCTGGAAGTCTCAGCTTCAAATCCAAAGAGGAATAAAAACCCCATGTGGTCATGGAGGTTCAAATGCGGTGACTCCGGGCTACCCGCAAAGCAGGTGGTTACCCTGTGATTAGTCGGCTCTTATAGCAGGTTGGATATCCAGGTTAATAAAAAAAAAGTAACTTTTGCTATGAAACCCTTTGCACAAACACAAMTTATAATTAACACAGATATTGACTCAACAAGTGAATATTGTATTATGAATCCTCTGATAATACACATCAGATACGTAATGTATTTGGCAATCACAGATGTATTAACTCATCGCTCAGTAGAAACATGTTTTAGACATTCATTATCACAACAATTTTTTTTTTTTGCCTATTTTGCATGATTTGCAGTTTGTGCCTTCAAAATGCAAAACCAGCAAATAATTCTCATATAAATCAGATTTTTTTAACGACGAAATTATAAACAAAAAATATATGAAAACAAAAATAGATATTGATGGGATCATATGCATATCTTGATACCATTGAGTTTATGTTAAAACACAAGAAAAAGTTAAAAGGAATAAAAGGGGTAATTAACTAATGGACTGATTTAGCTAAATGTTATATAGTTCAGGGGGGTGAGTGTAAATATTGGGGGACCATAGAATTTTGAAACCGTATGCCTCTCGCGGTCCTCCAAAATGAAGGCTAGCCTTTAACGGTGCCTTTACTTTTTATTTAGAGTAAACTACAAATTTGGTCCTTGTGGTTTGTTGATTATAACATTTTTGTCTTTGTAGTTTGAAAAATTACAATATAGCCATCGTGGCTTGTGAAAACCTTCAGATTTGATTTCTTCTTCTAACGATTGTTAACAAAATTTTCGTTAATGAGGGGGGCATTTTCATCATTTCTTTTTGTCTTTTACGATTTTACCCAATCAAAATCGATTTTATGATTTTGGATCATATGGTTTTTAATCGGGTAAAAGACAAAATTCGGTAAAAGGATGAAGATGTCTCTCATTTACAGAATTGTTAATGGACGTTAGAAGAAGGGATCAAATCCAAACGTTTTTTTTAAACTATGATGGTCATCTTTAAAATTTGAAACCGTAGAGGTGAAAAGTGGTAATTTCGACAAACCACATTTACCAATTTTGTAGGGGTAAATTGCATGAAAAAGTAACGTACTTTAACTTGATTCCTATTTTGGGTAACGTACTTCCAAAATTTCTATTTTGGTACAAAAGATGTAAATTTTACACATTTAAGTACCCTGGTAACCGGTTGAAGCATTAACCGGTTATCATGTTGATGTGACGAGTGATATGATATCCAACCCATTATTTGTTAGTGTGATTAGTGACATAGATTCTTTTTAATTTAAAATTAGCCTTTCTTTTAAAACTTTACATCGTAGATACCAAAGTGGTATTTTGAAAGTACATTATCTAAAATATGAATCAAGTTAAAGTACGTTATTTTTTCATACAATTTGTCCAATTTGTAATTTACTCTTTTATTTTAGAATTCAATTAAAATTAATTTTTATTATTATTTTAGAATAAATTCCATATTTAAAAACTTGACAATTAATTAAATACAAAATATACCTAGGCTAAAATATATTGCTTTACAAAAGAAAAAAGACAAAAAAGCCCCTAAGGGATGGGCATGACAACCTAGCTATAACCTCTATGGTCATGGCTATTATAGGCCTTTTACATAATTGCATGGTCAAAAGTGTCTAATGCATCATAAACCATTAAAAGAATGTGCCATTATTGTCTAATTTAAATTATTTTATATTATTTTATGCATTAAAAAAGTTATTGTTCATGAGATAATCCACTAAGTATTTTATTATTATACATTATGTATATCATGGTAGTTTATATGATTTTTTTTTCATTTAAGGTCAGCATTTAATGTATTTATGAACATATATTTGTTTCACAATGTGTTTGTTTCATATGTACTCGGTTTATAATGTGAAATCTTTTTACGCATAACTTTTGTATCACAAACAAGCTAAAAAGTTCATATTGTGAAACAAATATATGTTAATAAATATTTTAAATATTAGTCTTAAATGGAACAAAAAATCATATAAAATAACAGATGATACACTAGTTCTCAATGTTATTACGATTTCATGAGTTTTTAAAAAAAAAATCCTCCTTTGTATTATAATATATTTATCAGTTGTTTTACCAACAACAAAAACTTATCTTCGTTATTCAAAACAATCGTCTTAGAAAATAACAAAAAGGCGAAATCTTATCGCCTTAATCTTGTGGCCCGTCATTTAATTATCACAATTCTTGTCGTTTTCATAAGAAAACCTTCACGAAATTGGTTTTGTATTTGATTTTATATATATATATATATATATATATATCCTGTGAAACGGTTTCCATCATATCTCATATTTTTCCACCAAAATATTATTTTGGAAGGGTTTTTCATCTGTTGCGAACTTGATTATCGTGACCTAAATTCATAACAATCAATAGTCAAATTTACAGATTTTGACAAAACTGATTTTGATC